AGCAGAATTCCTAGCATCATTGCACCTTACTCAGCGACCGACCAGTGCGAGAAGCTATTGTCTGGCGTGCCATCCGGCCAAGAGCTTTCTGATAACCAGGTTCTTCAAAAGACCTTTTCTGCCATGGGCCTGGAACACCACGAGCGATTCATAACGAGGACTCGAAGTTGGAAACCGATGAATTCACGCTCTTTCAAGTAACACACTCGTGCCATCGTTCTCCAATGCTCTTCACCAATTGTGCGAGATGGTTTAATGGCTCAATCCCATAAGCTGGCAAAATTTGAAAATAAGATTCTGTTTGATACCGGCGGTGAATCTCGGCTCTCTTTGAGTCCTCTATGGCCCAAAAGCGTCTATCAGATGCTTTTCGAAGCAAAATCGCTATCTCATCGTCTCCATTACGCCAGCCCAATCGTCCGAAATTTGACTGTTTTAATCCTCAAATCACCTCAGTCAGAGCTCATACCAATACGTACTAAGGAAGATCTGAACTTAGTGGCTTCGAGACTATAACTCTATCTACGTACCCAGCTGTCTCATTCATGCATTTCTCTGCTTTCAATTGCTTTTAATTTCGCTAGACATTTCCAATTTGTTTTCAGTCGGTCTTAATCTGACTTCTTTCTTGTGCTATCTTATAATTTTAAATATTGTTACTGATGATTGCTTTGTAATTGCATCGACTTTACATCATATTATATTGACTCTTGTAAAGTGCCATCGGGCCCCATGTGGTTATACCTCAGGGCCCCAATAAATATATTAATCAATCTCTCTCTCTCTCTCTCTCTCTCTCTCTCTTATTACTCCTTTTTCTTAGAAGAGCCTGCAGGAGGCTTAGAGCCCGTGCGCAGAAAGAGATTACTACTATACCCTCCTCCCTACTGTCTCGCATTTGCCCACACCCGAGGACCTGTGGGGCAAGGGAAAACTGGGGGTATACATAGTGCATATGCACTACACCCTCCTCCATCCCCCAGGAAAAAACCCGCCCCGATACAGGTAGAGCACATAGGTTCTTATCCCGCCGAATGACAATCGAAAAATCCGATTGTCCTCACTAGGATTTGAACCTAAGGCTCCTCGAGCGGCCTTTTTTCCGTAGCTAGCACGCTAACCACTGAGCTAACGACCATTTGCTTTATTATACTTTTCCAATTTTTCTAGTAATTCGTGGTTTTGAACTTTATGGTCAATATAAGTTCAATTTTATCTATGTTGCATTTGTTATGGATATCTAAATTTCTTAAGCATGGTTTGGCTTTTGTAATTGGACTTTATTTGCATGCCAACTCTTAGATATAGTGTATGAGTTACTCATTAAGTGGGGAAAGGTACCTTAAAACTTTTTTTTTCACTCTGTTTTCAAAGTTTTTCTCTCTGGAATATGCAATTGGAGATCACAGTCGCCATAGAACCCTTCTCAATAAAGCAAGCCCACTGTCCTGAGAAGTACACCTGTATCGTAAAACCCAGCTAGAACCGATGATTCAATCGTGTCATTTTGTTCATTAGATGTGTGGTTACAAACGCAAGCACTTTCAGATGTCTTAATTACTCATAAATAATTTAACAACCATACATGCACTTTTATTCATCAATAGAAAACATGATATAATGCAGATAATGCTAAAATATAGCTTGAAAAAAGTGCACATTTTTCCCAATACCTTTGAAAGTGCTTGCTTTCGTAGCCATTTTTATGCAAAACAATCAAAACAAATTCAACTCATCCTATTTTTAATTTTCAAATTCTGATTACCGATAGGCCCATCGATCTTTTTTATCCAAGTCATCATCAAACAATCCTCACAAACTGTAGTTTCGAAAAAAATGTTAATGAATGGTGTGCGTCGTTACCCGATCCTTCTACCCACTTCAGTAAAATTTAACTCGATTTTTAGTATTTTAACGTTTTTTATGAAACATTATAAAAAAAATAGTTTTTGAGTAACAGAATCGAGTGGTATGTCAATTTTTGGTGTGCGTACTTTGTAAAAAAAGTTACATACGATATAAAAATGGACTTTGCCCGCGCCCATTGTTGATTTTGAGTGGATATTAATAGAAATTTTGCGTTGCATATCAACATCTTTTCTTTAAGTGGCTCAATTTATATTGCCAATTTTAGTTTTTGGAAAAGGTAACGCTATGCGCATATTTTAAATGTCAAAAAATCAATATTTTAACGAAATTTACGAGCGAATATTGTCTTAAAAATATGGTTCATCAGCTCAGCTTACCATGTACCTTTTCAAATCCTCGAAGGCCCTCGCCCAAATTTGATGAGCACTATTTTCTTCAGGTTTCTGAATCACTTGTAGGTCTCCAAAAAAAATTTCACGAGTGTGCTTTGAAAAAAAAATTTTTTTATTAAGGGGAAGCTAGCGCCTCAAAAATGACATGTTTTTCGTGATTTTTTTTTTTGTGGAAGGAAGTGAATAATGCAGTCAAAGTTTTTTGGTACTTATAAAGTATCTATTCAACTATATTTACAAATTTTTTCAGACCAAAATATCGAATTATTTATCGCCTAGCAGCGTTTGATGGAGGTCGTGTTAAAAAAAGGTACCTCAACGGGCGGCAAGCAAGCGCCTTCAGTTTTTGCCCGAAACTAAAAATGCGAAGTTCCTCTTAAACTAGATGACATTTGCTGGAGGTTGAACCTAAATAATTTCAAAAAAATTAAAAATTGATAAAATGGCGGACTTCGGAAAAAAAAAATTCTTTATTTGCCCTTTTTTGGCTCTTTTAAGGACTGTAAAAAGTAATAATAATGAAAAAATTTTTAATTTTATAGGTTCAACCTCCAGACAATTTAATTAGCTTTAAAATAAAAAAACGTATCTCTAAGTGCAGTACTTTTCGAGATATCTTGCCGCCCGATTCAGAAAACATAGTTTCGAGAAAAACGCGTTTAAAGTTTTAGAAACTGAATGTACATACATACATACATTGTTCCCTAGTAAAAAGACAGCTTCGGTTTTTTGCTTATAACTTTTTAACTAAATCTATTTTGGTAAAAAGGGTTTCGGGGGTGTATTCTAAGGGACATTTGCTAACTAAGTAAGCAAAAAAAATCGATTTTTTGATCGAGTCTCATGAGAGCCTCCTTTTAATGGCAAAAATATTAAAATTTCACGGGATTACCCATGTATGATTTTTAAGTACAAATTTGAATTCTACATCAAATTTTACACTAAAAACTGTGATTCGACAATTTTTTCATATCAATCCCAGAATATCAGAATTACAAGCGAAATATCATAAGAAAAAGAAAATTCAACTTTAAGGCCCTGAAAATTCAATAGGGTTAGACTTAGAGGGCTGAAACTTTTAAGATTTTCACGTTTCAATGTGCTCTTCGAAAGTACATAATTTAAGAAAAAAATTTTTTTGACCATCACGATAACTATGGCTTAGCCCATATGATAATAATTGTAATTTAAACATTTTTTTATTCAAGCTACTATTTTGTCAAGAAAAAAATTTTTTATTATGAAAATAACCGTGGTTTCTCAAAGTAGATACGTGGAGGGGACGTTCTGCATATATTTTACCCCTATATAATAATAAGTTGTTTACGAATTAAAATGAAAACAAAATCGAACTAAAAAACAAACTTTTTTATGTCGATGTACAATTTTTTACTTTAACCCATTAACGACCAAAATGCTTGATATTTCGTCGGTTTTCGGAGCGATTTTTTTTGCACTTTTAGGCCTTAAAAAAGTTTGCATCGAACTATTTCGATAAAAAATGTAATGCCCTTTCAGAAACTGGGCTCAAAATTTGAATTTTTTACTCAAAATATATTGAGTCCAGAGAAAAAGTGCACAAAACAAAAGTTTGAAAAGTGGTTCGTAAATTCTATAAAAATTCCCTGAGATACTTTGATAATCGTGATCACCCCTAATCATATTTATATCGTAATTCCTGAACAGTAACATGGCGAAAAAAAAATCGAAAACTTGATTCGTTGCAAAATTTTAACGTTTTTTTTGTTTATGTAGCTATAACTTTTTTATTATGTAAAAAATTTAAATCAGTTTCTGAAAGGGCATTAAATTTTACATCGAAATAGGTCGATGCGAAATTTTTTTAAGGCCTAAAACTACAACAAAAATCTCTCCGAAAACCAACAAAAAAATCAAGCATTTTGGTTGTTGAAGGGGGTTAAATGGTTAATTTACGCAATTTTAAATACCATCATCGGAAAAAATACCCTTAAAACCATAAAATATAGTGATAAAACTGAAATTGTCATCAATTGGAATAAAGAGTACATGTTTTTATAAAAGAATTGCTTTTTCTATATATGCATCGAGGCATATTTTTCGTTCATGTACATTTCTCATAAAAAATTGTTCTGAGTTCTTTGAATATCATCTTCAGTTGTTTTTTTACTCAGTAGATAGTTTGCCATTAACATCGGTCATAAATTAAAATTAAAATCAAACGCGTTATAAAAAGAAAGTGTTAGCGAACTAGCAACCGTGCAAAAAAACGCGTATATAGAAAAAGCAATTTTTCTATCGAAACACGACTAAATAATGTCGCGCCGTGCGTCACTCGGAGAGTTGATATGAAATGTTGTTTATCAACTTTTTTATAGGATTAAAATTGCTAAATTCATATTTAAATTTGTACTTTCAATTAAAAATGATAAATGTACAAAATTCATTGTGCAACATTTATTATTTTCCACATTTATAGTATTTCCCATGTTATTTGGTCAAATTTGCCTCAATCCCCTAGTACAGAATTTCGTCGCTACGTGGCGTGACGGTATCTTTCAGTCCTGAATAAGTCATCAAGTTGTTAAAAAAATACTATAACTTGATAGTTTTTCCCTTGCTATTTTCGTTTAAAAGTCTTTTCCAACGAAAAAATTTTTTTTCTAAGTATATAAACTTTTATCAATTTACTGAACGTACTTCAAAGTTCAAAATTATAACAATCATATTAAACTACATGAAGATACTTTTTATTTACAGAAATTGATTCATCAAGTTCATCGCCTCATAATAAAATCAAAATTACTGATATGTCTGGATTAGCTTGCAGTAAAAAACAATTTTGTGGTGGCAATAGGCATACTATTGAGAAGATGCTTGAATTCGGTAAACAACTTCATGCAGATTCAATGCATTTAATGCGGAAGAATGGAAAGAATAAAACAAATAAGAAAATGCTGCGAGATGCATTTAGCTTGTTGGCTTATGCTAATCCATGGACCTCACCAGTAGGATGGCAATTAGACCCACGACAGAGAGAAACCGTTTGTGCTCGGTTAAATTCAGCAATTTTAGGTATTTTTTAAATTTTTCGATACAGTAAAAAAATGAAATCATTTTAATTCACAATTTTTTCATTCAAGAGAATTTAAAATATAATATTAAGAATAGACAAACCTCAAAAAATAATTCAACTTTCAAATTGTTTTGCTAAGACTGAAACTCAATAATTCAATAACTCAATATGCGTTTTTTTTATTTATTTTAGAATAATTTAAAAAAAATATTCAATAAAATTATAGAAAAAAGGCGACTACCGCGATTTATTTTGCAGGACGGGCAAAAATATAGAAACCTCTAGAAATCACGTTCGAGCGTTAGTTAAAAACAAAAATTCAATATTCGATCAGTTTTTCTGTTATCTTTGATTTGATCACAAATCGAACCTCGGAACTATTTTTGAATGTTCTATAACATACGAAAAGGGCATCTAAATTAGTAACATACGCGCGCACAAAATAAAAATGTATTTTTTACCCATGTTACTTTACCCTGATTAGGTATGAAGTAATTTGGTAAAATATACTATGCAGCAGTATTCGACTACTCGGAACCACTCGGAGAGAAATAACAAGGGATATTTCCGTAGCATGCGCCACGGAAGTATTTCAAACTAGTGACGTGTGATTATCTCATAGCGAGTTATGGGATGTGCGGCGAACGTATTGAATATAGCTGCTCTCATGCCTTTGCAACATCTAAGTAACGTCGTGTATGTAAACTCTGTCTCTCTTTCATTCGCAGTACGCGTGTTAGTTCATGTTGCTTGGTCAAATAATAACATATATTCGTCAACTTAATTTCATATTTACGCAAATTGATAAAAAGTCGTGTATTATATATGATAACGATACGATACGATTTATGACTTATGAGTATAACTTGTATGCAAGCTACACAATGGCTCCAGCCACATATCAATAGTATGTGTTATTATTTGACCAAGCAACACGCACTGAGGCGCACACTGCGAGCAAGAGAGAGACAGAGGTTATATTGACATAGTTGCAAAGGCACTAGCGCCGAGCTAAAAGCTACATTTAATACGTTCACCACACATTCTATTACTTGCTATGGGATAATTCTAGATTCGTTTATGGAAAAATCGCTCGCCACTAGTTTAGAGTACTTTCAAGGCACTCACTACGGAAATATCCCTTGTTATTTCTCTCTACGAAACTTCGATAATTTCTGTTAAGCGATTTTGTTCCGCGCATTTGCTTGTGTGAGTGAATCTCTCAGGTGTGTATGAGACACGCCGAGCGGTCACCAGTCAGTCCGAACCGTCCTACGTAGCTATGCTGACAAGCGCTCCTTTCGTGTACTTTCACGTATTATTAAATCTATCCTATTCAATTCGATTTACTCGAGTACTCATTTCAATAATTTCCATTTCAATAACATTTTGAAAGAGGGAAAAAAGGTTTCGTATACATTTCAAGACGTATATTTTATGTGCTATGTTTTCAGTCCGGTAGAGTGGTTGGCTACTAGACGATTTGTACTTTTTATTTCGAATAATTTTTTGAAAAATAAGAAAAGCTTTTTTATCAAATTCATGAACTTATTTAAACGATTGCTGTTTTTGTAATCAAAAAGCGCCGCCGTGTATCCGTTATCGCGATCAAATCTGACGCGAAACGTTTCGTACCCAAGAGTAGCATCTCCGCCGACGAGACGAGCCGGTAGAATGATTAAATTGGAACGAATGTGAACGGTCTGCATTACCACCTCATGCAGTGACGCCCATCCGGTTCAATTCAACTAAGAATAACGTAATATTATTATTTTCTGAATCATTACACAGCCACACAAAAAAAAAATTTTCTAATCCACCGACCGGACCTAGTGGACTTTGTGTTTTTGGGGTCGCTGAATCCGAATCTGGCGTCGGTTTTTCAAGGTTGGCTCATTTAAGGGGTCATTTAAAGGTCAAATAATGGGAAAGTGGTAAAAAATCTAAAAAAATTCATACATGGGTTTTTGAGGATGCTGAATCCAAATCCGAGGTCGGATGACTTTCAGGAGGTCACCTTCAAGGTCATTTGGAGGTCAAACTATAATAATTCAGTAAAAATATCCGAAAAAAATCACACTTATGTTTTGAGGGTCGCTCAACCTGAATCAGAGGTCATTTTTGACTGTATCCGACCATGTAAAGGTCATTTGAAGGTTATTTTAAGGTCAGATCACGAAAACAGCTTAAAAAAATCTGAAAATACTCATTCATAGGTTTTTAAGGATGCTGTATTCAAATCTGAAGTCAGATGATCCTTACGACTTTGACTTCAAGGTTATTTGAATTTCATAATCCGAAAAAATCAGATTCCTATTTTGAGGGTTGCTGAATCTCAATCATTGTTCATATTGACTATACCTAGCCATTTTAAGGTCAATTGGTGGTCATTTAAAGGTCATGTCAAGGGTTACCAAGTGAATGCGATAAAATAACAGAAAAAGATTGTGTATAGTATTTGGAGCTGAGGAATTCTGATATTTTATTATCTAGATCAAGGTTTTTTGCATGATTTTTTACTTTCTTCTTTTGTAATGCACCTTTTTTCTTCAAACGATCGGCGTAAAGGTTGCTGTTTTCGTTTAGTTCCCCTATGTTGGCTCTTTCTCTTCTACATCTAGCAGAAATCAGCCATCATCGCAGCATCCCATCTACCTTGATATCACTGCTCCATATGTTTTATGTCTTGATGGAACCATTCTCCTTGCCCGTCGCTATAATCTCCAGTCTTCTGGGAGCTAATCTGCGTATAGGTATGCAGGGGATACAGTTTATAAGAAATATTACATTCCATTTTGTCGAAATGTTTTATCATCATTGATATTAAAATTTTTCTATGATCGCTTCTGTGATAACCTTGAAAATGTTTGAAGCTAACCCATGTACCATGGTCCATCTAATATTTCTTGTTACAATTTTTTATCGGATTTATGAGAAAAAATAGATTCTCAATATTTGCAGCATTCATCATGACATTTTGGGGAAATATAATGTAATATATTTTATAAACTGTATTCCCTGTATAGCTATACATATTAGTTCACAGAAAACTGTGGAGCTTTTGGCGACGAGCAAGGAAAATGGTTCCATCAAGACATAAAACATATGGAGCAGCAATATCAAGGTAGATAGGATTTGCGGTGATGGCTGGACGTTGAAGAGAGAGACAGTCAAAATAAGAGAGGCAAAAAACGCAAACGACAACCATTACGCTGATCGTTTGAAGAATAAAAGATGCGTTACGAAAACAAAAGACAAAAAACGCATGCCAAATTAAAAATATTTTCTGAATATTTTTCTTTCTTGTATTAATTTTTCATTGAAATGACCTCAAAGCTGACTTCATATCTGTCATCTGACTTCAGATTTGAATTCAGCATCCTTAAAAACCAATGAATGAGTATTTTCAGATTTTCCTAAGCTTTTTTCGTGATCTGACCATAAAATGACCTTCAAATTACCTTTACATGGTCGGATATAGTCAAAATGACCTCTGATTCAGATTGAGCAGGTAATTGAGAAGGTGATCTCCTGAAGGTCATCCGACCTCGGATTTGGATTCAGCATCCTCAAAAACCCATGTATGAATTTTTTCAGATTTTTTACCACTTTCCCATTATTTGACCTTAAAATGACCCCTAAAATGAGCCAACCTTGAAAAGCTGACCCCAGATTCGGATTCAGCGACCCCAAAAAATAGAGTCCACTAGGTCAGGTCGTTGGATTTGAAATTTTTTTTTTTGTGTGGCTGTGTAATCGATAGTACAGAATTTATTTGCTACAACCTATAATATGTATTTCATTAAACGTTTTTTATTGTGTTTGGCCCAGAGAAAGTTAACTACTCTTTTTCGAATTTGACATTGAAATATTCATGCCATCATTTTTCATTGCATTTTTCATTGTCTTAAACATACATTTTAATTACGAGAGTTAGATGTCATAATATTTTCAATTTATATGAAATTGTTCGTATCATACTTATTTTATAATTGCAGAGTCTTGCTGTTTACCACGTCGCCCACCTTTGGAAGTTACGATTTCACATGCTAAAGAGTTGGTTCATCTGATGTCAACTGTTGGGCTTGGATCATGTGGCTTTGCTTCAGTTAACAATATAATTGATTATTAAAAAAGTTCAAGAGCTATTTTATGATCTAGATTGAGATAGGTAAGCATTTAAAACTGTTCACTTTTTTATTGCATTTTACTTTGTTTTTTTTTTAATTTATGATTATTGAAAAAATATTGAGACCATCTGCGTAATTGATATTGTATTAAAATCCCCTGTTTTCAAATGTTACGATTCATTTTTTTCACGTGTCCCGAATCTTCTCATCTTCCTCTTTTATTATCATAGAATTCAACAAATTCTGCCTGATCCTTCTAAAATAGTCTCAGCAACTTTATTTTCTCACTGTCTTTCTCAATTCCAAATCTTGAACATTCTCTCACAATTTAATCTAACAATTTGCAAGTCAATGGACTTGCATGAGAGTCTTTGCTGATGAATTTTTTATTACGAATTTACCTAGTCCACATTTTCAGTTTCTATTTTCTTTTTTCCGGCTTAACATACAAACTAGTTTTTCTGATATTTCTTCATATAGTAGTTTTCTGATTCTTGCTCATATAGTATGTATGCTTTCTCGGCCTATTGTCATCTACGAATGCAGATAACAATCTAGACTAAGAATGGAATTTACTCTCTGCACATCCTCTATTTACAGGAAACTCTCAGTATTCGCGGTCAATTCATTCCAGAAAAGTGCCGCGAATACTGAAGCATTAATTTTTATGTAAAATGGGGGTTCCGTTTCAGAGTGTTTGAAAAATTCTAATTGTTGTGAAATTTTTTTGTCGAAAATGAAAAATAAAGTTAATTACAGCACGTTTTCTTGTATTCTAAAATGAAATGCTATACAATTATATAATATGATATATTTTTCATTAGCACAAACTTAATTTTTCTTAAAATAGTCATTTAAAGTGCTTCGTTTTGTGCGACGGGCCATATCGTTGAATAATTCTTGATTCGATTTGACAGCAATTTCACATTCGTGTTTAAAGCGGAGACTCGTCATGATAGGGTCAGATGTTATAGCTTCTTCAATCATGCCTTGAATTGTATTTATGATGTTTCAAACTGTTGCCAACTTCAAAGATGATTCTTCTACAGGCTTTTCATAATCATTAGTTTTATTAGCAAGTGAATCGTTCATAATTTCATGAATGTCTTCTACGGCTAAACCATTGGTAGGCTGCGTGATTTCACTTAGATCAGAGACTGTTAAGTCAAACTTTCCCCACCAATTTCTCTCCCTAATCGTAACGCACTGGTCGTAAGTTAATTCTTGCGTGTAAGGAATCACGACATCCGAGAGTAACTTTAACTAGAATTTATTGAGAGTCGATTCTAAGATTTCAATCCACGATTCTTCAACGTACCCAATGGACTGTAAGATATTGAAATCTTTCCAAAATTTCTTAACTCTGGACGTTGACTGAAGATCTTGAGATTCCTGATTGATAACGTTTAATATTTTTCCTTGACTCGTCTCAAATACACTGCCCGTCAATTAATTTTGCCATATTTAAGCGAAAATGAGTAAACTTCAAAGTCTTATAACTCAGTCAAAAAAAGTCGGATTGACATTTTGAACCCGTCATTCGAAAGGTATGTACTAGCACTTTGAAGATATATAAATTGTTATTAGGTTTATCTATTTATTTATCAATTTTTATTGACAATCAATTTGTCAAAAAAAATTTTCAAAGTTGATTTTTCGCCCAAACTGAAAAGTTTTTTTTTTAAACATCTATAACTTTTTAACTAAGAATTAAATCTCAAATGTGAGCCTGGATTCTAAAAAAGCATTAAATTTTACATAAAATTACGTATGTACGAAGTCATTTTAAGGCCCTAAACATGGAAAAAAATCACATCGATCGCGAACCAAAAATTCCTTCACTTTGAGCGTTGGTTAACATGCATAAAAAATCGGAAAAAAAATTTTTCTCAGAAACAAATCGTAACTATTGCTTCTTATTGTACACATAAAAACCAACCTTTTTTGTATATAAAATTTATTTCTACGACCCCTTGAACGCGGTATTCATGCGAACGAAAAATAGGGTCGTTTTTGCACTAAAGGGCTGTATATTTGTGAAAAAAAGATCATAGGAAAATTCAAAAAAAAGGATTTAAAGGTCTCGTTAAAACCTACAAATCCATCGGTTCAAAATGTTTCTACGACCCTTCTAACTAAAATGGCAAGAGAAATAGCGGAAGCAAAAAAAGCAATATTTTTTATTCGTTAATTGTTAATAAAAATTGATAAATAAACTTTATAAAAATTTATATAGCTTCAAAGTGCTAGTAAATACCTTTCAAATGGTGGGCTTAAAATGTCAATCCGACTTTTTTTGACCGAGCTACAAGACTTTGAAGTTTACTCATTTTTCACTTAGGTATGGCCAAAGTAATTGACGAGCAGTGTAGATCTGATCAGCTACGTAGCCTTTTTCCTCAATAAGATTTTTTAACTGTGTAGAAAATCGTGTAGCCGAAAAGCAAACGTTGTGCCAGGAAAATCTGGTTTTAAATCTCTCGATCCAACCTCGTCTAGCTACGAATGATTCAGTTGATGACCTTTCCGATTTATTTTTTAAAAAGTTGAATATTTTCAAGGCTTGATGTCTGATGGCACATGCAGATAATGGAACGTGTCTATGTATCATGTCTTGCATTCAAATAATCAACATATTGTTATGATCCGTAGATCATTCTTTAAAACTAAATGCCTCGTGTAATTATTAGCATATAAATTCATGCCGTTCAAAGATGACACACGTTGAAAGTAGTATATAAGATAGTACAGTACTACGTTCAGATAAGAACGTAGCGGTATGAAAGAAAACATGAATAGGCGAGCGCACCACAGTGTGTGTGCCTACACTCATAAGCGAGCGCATCAGTGTGTGTGCTTACACGAACAAGCGAGCGCACCGCAGTATGAGTGCTCACATGTATAGGCAAGAGCAACGATGTGTGAGTGAGTACACGTATAAGCAGTCGCAGCACTGTGTGAGAGGGCGCACGTATAAGCAGTCGCGGCACTATGTGAGTGAGCGCACAAATGAAGTACTGTATGGTATTGGTGTACAAAATTAAACGTATAATGGCACGTGTGGAAAAGTATGACTACAATGGAAAATGTTGAAGAGTATGATTATGTGTTAAAACAGCATGTACAAAAACAAGTACCAGACACAACAATTATGCATTATAATTCGGCGAATTACTGATATGCGCTTTCCTCTGCTTTTCAGTAAGCAAGGGGTGAAAGCATATTGAAAACATGTTGACGAAAAAGTATGAAAAACTGAGAGTATATAAAGAAGCTCCTGAGCTAAAGAAGGGGTCAGACGAATTGTAACTGTTAACAAGGGCGAAGCTCCGCTCGATCATAATTTTGCATCAAGTATTCGCAAGTGAATTGAAGTACGGTGAGAAATAATTCATCTAAATATCGGCTAGCTATTGAAGCTAGAGTGTCATAAAAAGTACTACCGGTCAGCAAGCCTTGGGCTTACCAATTCAGCGAAGGACAACCCTCAATTCTGCAACAGCAAGAGCGCCTTCAACTCTACAGTCACAGCTTACATACAACGAGATACCAACGCCGTAAAAGAACTTAGTGTCACCATAAGCAGTAAGCCATGACCTATTGTTAAACAAAGTCTTAAACCGTAATAAATCAAAAGGGGTGTATTTAAAAAGTAATGAATGTTATAATATTATTTTTAACACTGCATGCGCGAAACACGGGTTTTCTAACCTTAAAGCGTCAGAAAACCCTAGTTTCTCGCAAGCAGAGTTAAAAAATATCGTTTGCAACTAGTCCGCGAGGAAGTTGACTCACCCAGGAGTCTTTGCACCCTCGCTACGCTCGGGTGAAAACAACTCCTGGATGAGTCAACTGCTTCGCGCACTTGTTACAAAATATACTATTGTAAACCCCTCCCTATACACTACGCTGAGATAAGGAGACAACAGGAAGTTCATATAAATATTTAAAGGTAATTGGACCAGGAAAAGGTTTCATTACAATATCTTCCATTTTTTTAATATTTTCTATTGTTAAAAACATTTTTACGAATTTCATTACTGGAACATTTGAATAAAAATGTAACGCTATACCTGATCTTGTGATTTTACATAGTTTAGCATGGGAGCCCAACGTGGCTGCACTTTCTTGAATTTTGTCTTTGTTGCCACGGATTGATCGAATTGTAGACTCGTTGACTACAAATCTCCTTGCGACCCGGTGCAACTATCTCACCACTGTCTAAAAGTTCTAAAATTTTTAACTTTTGTGCCAGGTCCATGACTGTTTTATCTTGAGACTTTAACGACTATTTTCTTAACCCATTAAGTCCCAAGAGGACGTTTTTTCAATACTTCATTCGGCCACTGTATTTTTGGTGTAAATGGGGTCAAAAAAATATGCGAGTAACTAATTCTAATGTAAAATTTAATGCCCTTTCAGAATCTGATCTCAGATTTTTGAAAAAGTGATCAGGTCAAAAGTTACACTTGATTTTACCCAAAAAAACATGATTTTTAAAAAAAAATTTTTTTTATTTTTCGAATTTCCAAATGAAAACCATTAGAAATCTTAGGGGTATCGTGCAAATATCGCGTCCTCGATACCTAAACTAAAAGTTAGTGGGGTTTAGATTGAAGAAAATAAAGTTAAAAAATACACTTTTTTCTCAAGTCCTTCGTTTTTGAGTAAAAATTCTATAAGTTTTCATTTAATTTTGCTAGTTTCGACCGACATTTTTTGTGTTTAAACATTAATTTTTTCAATCGGTACCCCGCTAACTTTCAGTTTAGATATCGAGGACGCGATATTTGCACGAAACTCTTGAGATTTCAAATGGTTTTCATTTGGAAATTCGAAAAATAAAAAAAATTTTTTTTTAAAAATCATGTTTTTTTGGGTAAAATCAAGTGTAACTTTTGACCTGATCACTTTTTCAAAAATCTGAGATCAGATTCTGAAAGGGCACTAAATTTTACATTAGAATTAGTTACTCGCATATTTTTTTGACCCCATTTACACCAAAAATCCAGTGGCCGAATGAAGTGTTGAAAAAACGTCC